CTCAACTCGCGCTTTCTCTTTCTCTCTCTCTCAACTCGCGCGCTCTCTTTCTCTCTCTCTCTCTCTCACAACTCGCTCTCTCTTTCTCTCTCTCACAACTCTCTCTCTCTCAATTTGCGCTCTCTCTCTCAACTCGCGCTCTCTCTCTCTCTCAACTCGCGCTCTCTCAACTCGCGCTCTCTCTCTCTCAACTCGCGCTCTCTCAACTCGCGCTCTCTCTCTCAACTCGCGCGCTCTCTCTCTCAACTCGCGCTCTCTCTCTCAACTCGCTCTCAACTCTCTCTCTCAACTCGCTCTCAACTCTCTCTCTCTCTCAACTCTCTCTCTCTCAACTCTCTCTCTCTCAACTCTCTCTCTCTCTCAACTCTCTCTCTCTCTCTCAACTCTCTCTCTCTCTCTCTCAACTCTCTCTCTCTCTCTCTCAACTCTCTCTCTCTCTCTCAACACTCTCTCACACGTTCACATCAATGGTTTTGTTTTACCCTTTCATTGCTATGCAATGCCTATATGTCCACAATCCATTCATTATGAGCTGTAAATGTTTCCACATCTCGGAATGGTGTCCTCATACTATGCAGATGTGGTCTCATTCGGGTATTTCTTTCACTGCAACTCGATTACGAAATATGCTTTGGCAACGGAAAATATCTTTTGAGTTTTCTCAAGGTTCTATGACGTCCTTTCATTGCAAATAAATTTAGTTAGAGTAATTTTTCTGAGGTTTGATCAATTTTGAACTTGCTTCAAGCTGCAATGGGTTGAGCGCAGGAGAGACTAAGGTGGCCTCACATAATTAACTGTTTGAAATGCTAAAATATCTTTCTTTGTTTGTAAATTTCAACTTTTTTTTGATGTATTTAATTGATGTGGGATAATTGAATTAAATTGATGCATTATTTTAAATGGCAAGACTTAGGCCATGAGGCCTGCTCTTCTGACCATCCAAATTTCACTATGCTTCTTTCACTAGAAAGGAGGTATTCCTAGGGTGATGAAACGGGCATTTAAATTTAGCTCAGAGGCTTTATTTAGGCTTGAGGATCTTTTACGTGCAATAAATCTACTAACATGGGGTGGCTGGCTTTACTTCCCTCTGAAGGAAGCCGTACGAACGATGTTTTGTATGTTTAGAAAAGGAGTATAGATTAAACTACTAATTGACACATGTTATATTATTTTTTGCAATTCTAGCAAGTCTGAGAATTGCAGAGACATATATAAATTGAGACCTACAAAAAATATCTTAAAGTAACTTAACCTTTCTAATATTACAATGATTTGAATATTCAGCAAATATATTTCTTAATGCAACATGATAGCAATTACTAAGAATATCTTGGATTTTCAAGATTAGCCTTATAGACCACTGATGAGAAGATTTTTCTGAACCCTTTCAATCCTTTCAATTTGATAGTAGTAAGTGAACATACTGAGGAATGATACACGAGTGTAGATTTAACTAAAGAGCTGTATAATATTGAAAGAGCTTGGAATGAAGTAAATTTGAATGTTTGTCTATTTACAAAATCTAATAATTTTAACCCTCTGCATACCAAATACTAAATGTAACGTGAATTAGCAAGCAGGGTACATGTGTACCTCACACGAATATTATGCAAGGTTGCTTTGAAATAGGATATAACTAACTCACTTATGAAGATTTTGACTATTTTGACCAGTTAATATGTAATAATGGAATAGAATTAAGCAACTTTTATTACTATGTTTCTCTTGTAGTAGACTAAGACATCATCAGAATACTTCTTTTAAGATCATTCCTGTTTGAGGATATTGATTTAAACTTTTATTTTTCTATTTTTACAAAATTTTATCCATTATAAGTTGCCTCCACATTGTCCTTTGGAGTGCAAAAATACATGAATGCAGAACATACATTATCTAGCATAGATAGAATGACACAATGATTCAAATGCAAATTTCCAGACATTTCAATAATGCCACTTGCATTTGAATGAAAAGATTGGTGTGCCGAGGAATATAATGTTCAGATTAATTCAAAAGGAATAAGAATTAGTAACGTGGAATACCAATGGGTGGTACAAATGCACCCCAGTGCTTGTTTTGTGTAAGTTCAGGTAAACACCTTAAAACAATTATATTCTTTAATATATCATTGTCAATTGAAGTATTTCGTGCAATGTAACAAAATTTCAAGATTTCTCAATCAGCACAAAGTGTACGGCCAGAAAGAAGTGAAATTGTGGTTCACATCTACCCCATTTGCTATGCAGATGGTTAAAGAACTATTTATCACATAATCAGTTAGTTAATCAAAACACACTTTCCTTTTCAACAATAATAACCAAATCTCTAATTTCCGAAACACACTCTTTAAGTTTGATTCATCAGTAGTATAGATTGATAAAATAACATTACGCCCTTGATTACAAAGCAGTAACTTTCATTTATTTATATTCAAATTACTATTTTTTTTTAAACCACTGTACATGCTGCAAAAGCCTATTATTATCTTATTTCTATTGTGTTAATCTTTGTGTTTTAATATTGCTGTGTATATCAAATTAAAAAACTAAAAATGATTAAACTTGGAAAAAAATACTGGAAGTTGATTAAAATTGATAAAGGGCACATTGAAATGGCCAAATGGCACAATTAATTGACATTCAATTTAATGATCAATATCTTATTGTTAATGCTTGTTGCTGCTTAAAAAAATAATAATATTAAAAATAATTTTTAGTTATTTGCAGTAGCTTTGATTAATTCCACGCAGTTGATTTGGAGTTTATTAATTTCAGTAAGTCTGTATTTAATGTAGAAAATTAGGTTTTCTGAATGCTATTCTAATTTGAGGTATAACAGCAAGGAATAAAGATGAATAAAAAAAATAAAGGTTATGTGTGAAATTAAAATTTTTGTTGAAGATTTTATGTTAGTGATAACTGACATTTTTAGCAAAAGTGATTTGACTATTGATGAAGGAATAGGAACTGGTCACTTAGTGGTTTGAAGAACAGTGAACAAATTGCGATGACGAGGCAGTTGGCCATTATGGAATGGGCTGCTAGTTTCATGTAGTTGTGTGACCTTGCATTTTCTTAAGGAACTTGTAAATTACAATTATTTACTTCTAATTTTAGATTAATTATTTTTTATGAGATGTTAATATTATCAATTTTGCATTAAAAATTATTCAGAGTGGACTTGATACATTCTAATTGGTACATTTCACTAATCTAAACAGCCATATAATTTGAAAATTAGTAGGAACCTGTAGGATGTTCTGTGTGTGTGCCTTTCAGAGTTGATATGTCTTGCATCATCTTGGAAAACAAGGATTTCAAATATTGACTATTTAATATATCGTTGACAGTTTAGTGTCGTGCACTAACAGCATACTAATAGTTTTAGTGCAGTTTGTCTCTTGAATTACTATTTATTTTGTGCAAAGAAATATATAATCAGAAATAATAAAGTTTTGCAAATGTTAATTGGTTTTATCATTGATCACATATCTTGTGCAGAAACTGAAAGAGGGAGTGAGTGTGTGCATTATTTTGTGTGAGATTTTACCTTATGACATTTTAATTCAAAAGTATATTAAGTACAAGTTCTATTGGAAGGTTTATGCATCTAAACATTACTGAATAATTACAATGATGTATTAAGTAATGGCCTTTTGGAAAATATAATACTATACATTGTAATAATAATTATGTAAATTGAGCGGTACTAAATTACAATGTTAATCAAGGCAATGGACAACTGTAAATATGGAAGCTGGAGAATGTGCATTTGACCCAAGTCCCTTGGGGGTTGGGTCCAAAAGCCCATTGCATTTTTATATTACACTTAACCAACCATTTATGTTCAAGTAATTACTTAAGAGTAAAAACACAAAGAGCTGAAGATAAACTAAAACTTTGATATAATTCCTGGGTTGAACCCAGTAAAATATCAACTCGCAACATTGTTTGAGTATTGCCACTCAATAAAAGTAATTTTATAATAATGATGATAATATTCCATCTGGCCCGTGCTTGCAACCTGGAGTAGATTTTATATTCAACAATTTCATAACTTCTTTAGTCATGAAGAAAAGGAACAATAATAATTACACATGTTGTGAGACTGTCATAATTTACAGGGTGGTTTGCACTGCTGAACTGCAGTTTTCTCTTCAATTAACGTAAATAACAAACTTTTTATGACTAAAGTTTGTTTTCAGGTATAATTATTTCGTATTGAAAATAGTTTCATGGATAAAATTCAGATTCACTGTGCAGAACATTTCTGAAGTACTTGCTCATCCTTCAGGCTGGTGTCAATTCGAGCACAATTATTTCTGATGCTGATAATTTTTTAATTTAATTTTAATTTTTACATTTTTTTTATTGTGCTTGTAAATGTGTTGATATGTAATAGTAGCTTTTGTTTGTAGGTCTGTTCATGAAAATGATCACAAGCACAGTATATCCAACCGGGAAGTTACCGGTTCGTGGGTGGAAGACCACTACCCTGATATGAAAGAGGAAAAAAAGAAAGATTTTTTCCGTGAAGAACGCAGAGATGTCAGACATCCTCCTGGACCAATAACACGTGAAAAATTGGAAGCATCAGAATTACGCAGTGATTCAAAACGTAATCTTACTCCATTAAAACGATCTACATCCTTGAATTGTAATGAAAAGAAACAAGATGTGCGAAAGGCTGATATACAGGTAAATTCAAATATAATATTGACTACATTGTGATATTCTTAAATAGTGTATAGTAATATACATAGTATAGAGAAAGTTATGTAATGCTGCAGAAAATAGTTTTCTATATTTCAACGAAAATTCAAGATGTTTTGGGGACCTCTGATGCCGAAAATGTGTTGCTTTTTTTCAAAACTTTAATCTGTTTGTCTGTGAATGAACAATACGATCTAAACTATTTGTAGGATATTTTCCAAAATTTATATTTCTCCATAATTATTTTGTTTACTCATATGAAAATTTTTTAAAAATTAGCAGTTTTCACCCAAATTGTGTGTAATGTGGTATTAAAACCATATAAAGAGCAAAACTTTCTAAAAAGCAGCTATAGATTTTTTCTTTAAACGTTGAGGGATAGTTGTAAATGTACTGTATAAGATGACACAAATGCCATTTTGTACTAGATCTTATGTTTTCTTAAACTGAACTTGCGGGAATATGAATTTCTGTGTTTTGAGAAAACCTTAAGCATGATTTTCTCTATAACAGCCCCAAATTTTATCTTCAACCTTTTTGTGCAGATTGTTCTGAATACACTGTGTAAGTTGACGTAAGTCATTTTTATGAATTCTTCTGTGTTTTAAAAAAGTAAGCAAATGTAATTTTTTCAAATACCTCTTACGCTTAGCGCTTCAAATAATCTCCAATATGATTTCTAGAAAACTCAAAAGTCTTCTGTAAAATAGATTCGAATTTCGCTTTTTCAATAATGCTTAAATGACATATTTTAAAAAACTTCAAAAATTTCAACAAAAAATTACCATATAGGACAAGGTGGTATCTTTCTATAACAAACTTTGTCATTCAGTTCTTTCACTTAGAAAAGAAAAAAATTTAGAAAACGTGGAAAATTGTAGTTTGGGCAGAGATATAATCAGCTGTGATTAAGATGGAGCAAGACCAACAAGCTCCCCTACATCAAATATATTAGAAAACTAATTTGTACGAGAGAGTAGCTCCACTAGTTACTTTTTCATGTCTCTCACAGAGAACATGGATATAAAGATTTTGAAGGAAGTAGAGATTTTGGGAGTCACTGTTACTGAAAAAGTGTTCTTGTTGATTTTGGCACATTCGTCTGGCTAAACACTTCAACATCCTTCCTCCTTAACTGTACATAACTCTCTCT